AAAAAAAAAAAAAAGACATTTTGCTACTGTGCACAAGATCTCTGCTCCGAGGTACAGGGAGGATGGAGGTGAACAGGACAGCTGAAGCAGCTCTGTTGTCTCCTAGAGAATCAGCAAAGGCCTTCCAGGAGGCCCAGGGGTGGAGATGGGGCACTCGATACAGAGACTACAGTAAGTGTCTACAGTAAGAAGTTTCAGGAATAGTATGGCTGAACCTTGGCATACAACAAGGGAGACGTGACAGGAACCTTGGGGAAAGGGCTGTCATTACAGTCCTGATAAAGCACTTGGACTTAGAAGTTTTTAGGCTGGGGTATGACATAATCAGATTTGCATTTTAAAGATAATGGGGGGGGGGTTAGCAGGAAGGGTGGGGAAGAAGGGTAAGGTGGGGTAGGAGCAAGGGTATCTTGTAATCCCAGCACCTCAGGCCTAGGTGGAAGGATCACTTGAGCTCACAAGTTCAACACCAGCCTGAGCAATATGGTGTGACCCTATCTCTACAAAAAAATCAGCCAGTCATGGTGGTGCATGCCTATACTCCCAGCTACTTGGGAGACTGAGGCAGGAAGATCTCCTGAGCCTAGGGATTTCAGGTTACAATGAGCTAAGACCATGTACTCCAGCCTGGGTGACAGAACAAGATCCTGTCTCTTAAAAAAAAAAAAATCCTAGCAGAGTAGTAGAAGGGAGTAGGCCTGAAGAGGACAAGACTGACCGGGGGGAGGTCCACTAGAAGCAAAAAATCATTCGACCAAGAGAACCTGATGCTCAAAAGATCCATATGAGATGAAATTAGTGACACGGAAAGTTTTTTAAAAAAAAGAATAGTAGGAGCTTTTTCCCTTAACGTCACAATCTTTCATATCCCAGATCCTGCTACCTATAGACTTCATCTCATTCTCCCCTTGCTTTCAAAAAGGCCTGTGCTTCTTGTTACCTGAGTGATGTCTCCCCCACTCATTCTACCTGCCTACTTTTTATGTCTTTCCTTTTTTTTTTTTTTTTAGAGATAGAGTCTTACTTTGTCACCATTGGTAGAGGGCGATGCTGTCACAGCTCATAGCAACCTCCAGCTCTTGGGCTTAGGTGATTCTCTTGCCTCAGCCTCCCGAGTAGCTGGGACTATAGGCACCTGCCACAATGCCCAACTATTTTTTGTTGCAGTTTGGCGGGGGCTGGATCAAACCTGGCACCCTTGGTATATGGGGCTGGTGTCCTACTCACTGAGTCACAGGCACTGCCCTGTCTTTTTCTTTTGAGACAGAGTCTCACTTTGTTGCCCTTGGTGGAGTGCTGTGGTGTCACAGCTCATAGCAACCTCAAATTCTTGGGTTCAAGCAATCCTCTTGCCTCAGACACCTGAGTAGCTGGGACTACAGATGCCTCCCACAATGCCCGGCTATTTTTAGAGATAGGGTCTCACTCTTGCTCAGGCTGGTTTTGAACTTGTGAGCTCAGACAATCCACCTGCCTTGGCCTCCTAGAGTGCTAGGTTACAGGTGTGAGCCACTGTGCCCGGCCATGTCTTGTTTTTCACTGTGTTCTTATATCTAACCTAACATTTAGATACTGATGCTCACTCTCCTTCTGCCCTGGGTAGTTGTTCAATTTTCGCATTAGACTATATGTTCCCAAAGTGCAGGAAGCTATATCTCACATCCTTAGTACTTAGCAGAGCTCTGGCACATAAAAGATATTCAGCAAATGTTCACATTTGTTGAGCACTGTATGCCCTCATTAGAGACACAGAACAATCTGACCTAACTACTGCTGCAAACATTTGTACTTACTGTGGCAAACAATAAGGAAATGCATTTTATGTTGCAATCAAAGATGATGAACATATACGTATATGTCACACAAAGTTGAAATGCTTCACAAAACAGTTATTTTCCCTAGTTAAAAAAATGTATTCCACTTCATTTGGGTAGATCAATCATCTGAATCTGATTAGGATTCTAAAGCTGTTCATCTTAGATATTTTTATTGATATTTTTCTAATGGGAAAAGAGAGTAAATTCAAGCCCTAGAATTTAGAATCTTGGGCTGATCTGTCACTACGAATATTTCTTTAAATTCCTGGCTCAGCACCTGTGGCTCAAGTGGCTTAAGGCACCAGCCACATACACCTAAGGTGGCGGTTCGAATCCAGCCCAGACCTGCCAAACAACAATGATGGCTGCAACCAAAAAATAGCCATGCGTTGTGGCAGGTGCCTGTGGTCCCAGCTACTTGGGAGGCTGAGGCAGGAGACTCGCGTGAGCCCAGGAGTTGGAGGTTGCTGTGAGCTGTGAAGCCACGGCGCCTACCCAGAGGGATAGCTTGAGGCTCTGTCTCAAAAAAAAAAAAAAAAAAATTCCTATACATTTTTTCCTGAATCATCAAATTTTGCAGTAAATGCATGATAGATCAATTTTTATTTTAATATAAACATAATATGAAAAAAGTTAATTTATATTTCAGAAATTTTCCTATGAAAAATAATGTACGAGGAGGAAGAAATAGTGATATTCTATATCTGTTTATGATACAGAATTGCATCACTTCCAGGCACACAATATAAATGCAACCTTGTTTGTGAAAAACTGATAGTCAAAACCTGTAGATGTGGCTTGGTGCCTGTGGCTCAACCAGCTAAGGCACCAGCCACATACACCTGAGCTGGCGGGTTGGAATCCAGCCCAGGCCCACCAAACAACAATGATGGCTGCAACCAAAAAAATATCCAGGCGTTATGGCAGGTGCCTGTAGTCTCAGCTACTTGGGAGGCAGAGGCAGGACAATTCCTTGAGCCCAGGCGTTGGAGGTTGCTGTGAGCTGTGATGCCGCTGCACTCTACCCAGGGTGACAGCTTGAGGCTCTGTCTCAAAAAAACAAAAACAAAAACAAAAACCTGTAGATGTAACAAAAAGTGAGCACTGCTTTCCAGTGAGGGTTCTGAGGAGGAAATGAATATTAAAATTTACCTCAGATTTATAATTGTCCTTTGCCAATTTTAGCTTATTTTCTTCATCAATCCAAATTATCACACATCTGTCAATGCATTAAACACATTACTTTATATAGAGAAAATATTGAAAATATTCAGGTTTAATGATTTATTAGGGGAACTTGGTCACGCATCCCTGATAATTTGTACATAGTATTTTAATAAATATTCTGTTGGAAATCTAGAAAAAAAATATATTCCAATTTTTTTATTACATTCACCTTATTTATTTATTTATTTTATTATTATATTTTTTGAGACAGAGCCTCAAGCTATCCCCCTGGGTAGAGTGCCGTGGCATCACAGCTCACAGCAACTTCTGGGCTCAAGTGAGTCTCCTGCCTCAGCCTCCCAAGTAGCCGGGACCACAGGTGCCCTGCCACAACGCCTGGCTATTTTTTGTTGTTGTTGTTGCAGCCGTCATTGTTGTCTTGGTGGGTCAGGCTGGACTCGAACCCACCACCTCAGGTGTATGTGGCTGGTGCCCCAGCCACTTGAGCCACAGGCGCTGAGCCCACCTTATTTATTATTATTATTATTATTAAGAGACAGAGTCTCACTTTGTCGCTCCTGGTAGAGTGCCATGGCTCACAGCTCACAGCAACCTCCAGCGCTTGGGCTTAGGCTATTCTCCTGCCTCAGCCTCCCGAGTAGCTGGGACTGCTTGGGTGCCTGCCACAACACCCGGCTATTTTTTTTGTTGCAGTTTGGCTGGGGCCAGGTTGGAACCCACCACCCTCGGTATATGGAACCCGCGTCCTACTCACTGAGCCACAGGCACCGCCCCTTATTATTATTTTTCAAAGAGATCAGGTCTGGCTGTGTTGCGTAGGTACAACTATAGCTCACTGTAGCTTTAAATTCCTGGGCTCAAGTGATCCTCTCACTTCAGCCTCCAGAGTAGGTGGGGCTAAAGGTGTACACCATCATGCCCAGTGAACTTTTTTCTTTTTTGTACAGCTGAAGTCTTGCTATGTTGCATACACTGGTCTCAAACTCCTGGGCTCCAGTGATCCTCCTGCTTTGGCCTATAAAGTGCTGAGATTACAGCTGTGATGCATGGCACTAAGACCATTTACCTTTAAATGGCCCTGATCCATTAGCTTCATTTTATGATCTATTGAAAAACACTAACTAATAAACACATATATACTTGAATATTACTTGATATCCTTCATTAGGTTTCCCCCTGGTTTAAATAATATCAACATTCTTACTCTGTCTTAAGGTCTGCTTTCAAAACTTCCAATAATTTACCCTGGCCACTTTCCAGCTTCTCTCATCTTTTCTAAACTAAAAATCCTAAGAAGAGCTTAGTCACTACGAAGAACTGATGGAATACTTCCCAGCACCAGTACTTCCAGCTCCATTGGGCCCCAGCGCTTGTCCTCTATCAATCAGATGGGCTTATGACATATAACTCCTCATCTACCTGCCCTTTGGGAATCTTGCGACTGTTTGGCCGTCAGGAAGAAAATCAGTCCCTTCTCCTACAGCATTTACCTTCCAGCTGTAGTTTCATGGCTCTTGTTTGCTGGCACGCTCTCTCTCCTCTCCCTCTCCCAGTGTATGGACAGTGTTTTGCCAAGAACAAACATGTTCGAGTTAGTAGACTGACTCTTTATCGCTGCTGAATGTCTCCAGTTCTAGGACCCATTTTTGTTGGGTTCAGTTTGAATCGTGTGGAGCACAACCAGTATTAACCAGTATTAAATGTTCCTTGACCCTTTTTTTCAAATCTCCAGGTCAATTTCAAGACGACAGAAGTCGGGAATGGCGCCCGCTGATGCGGAACGCAGACTCAACATAGTCACTGACCCGAGAGCCCCATACGTCCCGCCAACACACAGATATACACACACAAAGCCTACTGCAGGGGCCGCACCGATAGCTATTAATAATTGAGGCCAATGCTCCAGGGAGTGACACTCCACCCCGGGCCCATCTAGCCTACAACTCCCAGCAGGCCTCGTGCGAGCGCAGGGACTCCATCTCCCGACGGGCTCGGCACTGACTTGCCAGCCGGTCAATGGCCCGCGCTCTAAGTTTGTCTCTTTTTACCTGGCGGCCGAGAATGTCTGGAAGTGGAAGGGCAGCAGTGGTCTGCCTGGGACCAAGCCACCCCGAATCCCGACCCGAAATAAGTGCACCAACATGCTGGGGCCGGAAAACAGGAGCAGCCGGCAATGGGAATTTCACTCTCATCCCACCATGGGCTCCATCTTGGCTCCGGCCCACGTCCCGACAACCGCCTCGCGCCTTGGCGATGATTGGTGGAAAGATGCATCAATCTCGTTGCAAGCTGTGATTGGAGAGAACGTTGTAAGCGCTCCTCCTTCCGAAATTGCTCACCCCAGCTCTGGGCGTGGCCGAGCGGAAAACGGCACGGCCTTTCTCCAGGTCTCGGGTGATGGCTTGGTAGTGTGCACAGTCAGTCCGCTCAGCCTGGAGGTATCCATGGTAACGCATCAGCCTCTAGCCGCGGGCCATTTTCCTGAGGGTATCCCAGCGGACAAGGGAAGTCCTCTGGTCTCTAGGGAGTGTAGAGCACTGACTTTAGTGGATATGAAGAAAAATCTACAGGGAATTTTTCGAAAGCACATGTAGGGCCCAGCGCGGTGATATTTGCCTGTAGTCCTCGCTACTCAAGAGGCAAAGGGGGCAGGGGGGATGGCTTGAAGTCAGGAGTTCGGGCCGCAGGGAGCTATGCCCGCGCCACTACACTCCAGCCTGGGTGACAAGGCGATACCCCATCTGTTATAAAAACAAAACACGTACATATGACTTGCTACCCACCCTGTACTTCTTAGGCGTGTCAGAACTCCAGGACACAGCTGGCTGTCATGTGTAATTGGCGGGGGGGGGGGGGAATCCCAGGATTCTGATACTCTTGCCCCGTGCGTCAACTATTGAGTATGATCAGTGTGAAGGTCCTGGAGTTTATCGAAGCGCATCTCAAATCTCTCTCCCCCAGCGGATGCCTTCCTCACCCTGTCAGAACAGCTTGCACCTTTGTTATTTTTCCTGTGTAATTATTTGTTTGCATATCTGCCTCCCCACTGGGCTGTAATGTCTTGTTGGGTAGTAGCTCTGTGTCATTCATCTGTCTTCTCCAAATGCTTGGCAGGGAAAAGTGCCCTTTATAATAAATTGTCTTGAGTTGGGGGGTGGTGGCAGTGAGACTGTCAGTGGATGAATCCACGTGGAACTGGGTAGGAAAATGTGTCAGGATTAGTTTGAGGTTGGGCTGGGAAGGGGTCCTAATGTGAATATAGACCTAGGGGTGCTAACGCGGAATATCTATGATATTGAGTGAGTGATACTGTTTAAGAGGGGGCAGAGACAAGGCAAAACCCCACATGACCCCACCTTTCTTTTTTTTTTTTGAGACGGAGCCTCAAGCTATCCCCCTGGGTAGAGTGCCATGGCATCACGCTCACAGCAACCTCCAACTCCTGGGCTCAAGCGAGTCTCCTGCCTCGGCCTCCCAAGTAGCTGGGACTACAGGCGCCCGCCAAAACGCCTGGCCATTTTTTGGTTGCAGCCATCATTGTTGTTTGGCAGGCCTGGGCTGGGGATTCGAACCCGCCACCTTAGGTGTATGTGGCTGGCGCCTTAGCTGCTTGAGCCACAGGCACCGAGCCGACCCCACCTTTCTAAAAGAATTTTTCCCAGAGATTGGGTCTTGCTCTGTTGTCCAGACTGGAATGCAGTGGTTTGATCATAGCTTACGGCAATCTCGAACTCCTGAGCTCAAGTGATCCTCCCCTCTCAGCCTCCTGAGTAACTAGGACTACAGGCATATTCCACTATACCCAGATAATTTTTTATTTGCAGAGACATGGTCTTGCTAGGTTGTCCATGCTGGTGTCAAATTCTTGGCCTCAAGTGATTCTCCTGCCTTGGGGCTCCCAAAATGCTGATATTACAGGTGTGATCCACTGAGCCCAGACACCACATAATATATATATGTATATATTTTTTTTGAGATGGAGCCTCAAGCTATCCCCCTGGGTAGAGTGCCATGGCATCATGCTCACAGCAACCTCCAACTCCTGGGCCCAAGTGAGTCTCCTGCCTCTGCCCCCCAAGCAGCTGGGACCACAGGTGCCCGCCACAACGCCTGGCCATTTTTTGGTTGCAGCCGTCATTGTTGTTTGGCAGGCCTGGGCTGGGGATTCGAACCCGCCACCTTAGGTGTATGTGGCTGGTGCCCTAGCCGCTTGAGCCACAGGCGCCAAGCCCACATAATATATTTTGACAGATGTCTTAGTAAGGTTATGGGAATATCTGGCTCCTCTGCAATGTGAGATTCTATTTTGCCACCTCCAGAAGGGCTGGGTCTTGTTTTCATAGCTCTGCCTCCTGCTCAGGGATAAAGTTATGCTACTACTGTTTTCCGCCCAAAAAAGAGGCACAGAAAGAAAAAAACAGGCACACTGGACTCAAGTTTTATGGGTATTTCCATGATTGCCTCCACATTCCTTCATTGAACAACCAGAAAGTGTGGTATTTCTTCCATGGATACTGGCCTCCACATCAGCCTTTGGGCCTAAGCCCTTGAGGCCCTGACACCTGGTGGCTGAGTCAGCATCTCAGGAATGGGGTTCAGGAAGAAACCTGGTGAGTCAGGGCCTCAAGAATGGCGTTGGGCAAGCCATCAGACCAGCTGCCTGGGCCTCCTTCTCATTGTTGAGGCAACACCACAGAGCTCAACTCACTTGACTCCTTGGGTACCCATATTATCCTTCCAAATCCTTGGCCACAAGCTGCCCTTCTCTGCCTGCTGAGCCCTGATGCTTCTCAGGGGGTCTCAGAACCTGGATCAGGACTTGGAAAGGGTGTCAGCATTCAAGAGTATAAGGAAGTAAACATAATGGAACTTCCAGAGAACCCCACTTTTCTACTTTAAATCCCCCTTAACTACTTCTGGAATCCAAGATAACTGCCCTTTCTGTCTTTACTTCCTCCTCTCCTCAGCTTCCTTCAACCTGACTGCCAGGTCAGACAGGCTTCCCTAGTTCCTTCTTTAGCACCCTTAGACCAAAAAAACTTTTTCTTTTCTCTTTTGGTCTTACAACATTTATTGTATGGGTGTGTGATGGGAAGAGGGTCGAGATTTTAGGAAATGGGATTTAGCATCCCAGCCCTGAGCATCTCCCATCTTTTCACAGGTTTCTGCATTTGCTTGTGTTACTGTGATGGCTGCTCTTTATCTTCCATCCAGTTTGACACAGGTGTCTCCTCTTCAGTTCCTGCCTCTTAAACCAATGACCCTCCCAGGCATGGAGTCTGTACCCTGAGTGGTTTGGCCCCAGGTTGCCCTGGAAGGGGTGTGAGTGATCAGACAGGTGACTGAGGGCTGGGATGCCTGAGGCCTGCCCTGACTGAGTCATCGTATGCTGTTGTTGTCACTGATCTTGTTGAAGTCCCTGCTCAGTTCTACAGATGTCTGTGGGAACAACAACAGCTCCCATCCTTCTACCCTTTCTGGAGACGCTGCAGCAGGATGGTGAGCCGAATGGGCTGGGGGGGGAGCCAGGGGCGGCTGAGGCAGTGGGGAGACCTGGGGCCAAGACCTGTGCCCCTCCTCCCCATACCACCTCTGCCTCCTCCTCCTCCTCATCGGGGACCTGGGGGAGGGAGGATCTCCATCTATTCTCTATCCCCTGCCACTAGTACAAGAAGCTCCTCCTCCTCCTCTTTCCCTCCTCCCATGGCCCCCCCCTGCTTGGTGCTGCAGGAGACAGGGGCTTCTCAGCCTCGCCACTATGCCCTCCCTGCCCCAGATACCCCCACACAGGCACAGCCCACAATGGCACCTGCCTCTGCTTCCCCCTCTTGGGGATCCCACACCACCCCACCCCTGGCTTCGGTGACTTCCCTTCCCTCACGCCGATGCCCCCAGGATGCTCCTGGGCTTCGCATAGGCCCTCTGATCCCTGAACAGGATTATGAGCGGCTAGAGGACTGTGACCCTGAGGGGTCCCAAGACTCACCCCTCCATGGGGAGGAGCAGCAGCCCCTGCTTCACATTCCTGAAGGCCTCCGGGGTAAGTGTGAGGGCCATGTCAGGGGTGAGCTTCTGGCAGGGGTTGAGGGTGTGGAGACCTGATCAGTCAGGTGAGTGTGCCAAGGCCCCCCCTCCCTGTGCCCAGGCTCCTGGCATCACATCCAGAACTTGGACAGCTTCTTCACCAAGATATCCTTTGTGCTAAGCCTGCAGAGATGGCATGTGAAGGTCCCTCAGAGCTAACAGCATTCTTGGCCAAGAGACTCTGAAGATGTCATGGGTGGGAGGACTTGTTGGGGATGAGGGGAAGAGACCTCAGGAAAGGCCCATGTGCCTCAGGCTTATTCTTTGACACATGGCCACATCTATAGCTACCACCAGCGGAATGGCTTCACCTGTATCCTGCTGGAGGACATCTTCCAGTTGGGGTGAACTGCTTTGTGGCCCTTCCTATCAGCTTGCTGCTTCTGGCACCTTTGAGTGCCTACTGCTTTCATCCTACCCTTTCCCAAGCAAGGGTCTTGGTGGGGTTGGATGAAGGATGACTGGCTGGTATAGGGGCTTGGGCAGACCCACTTGGGTCTCAGGTCCAATCACCTCTGCATCCTTGTACCCTCTGAACCCTGTGAAAGGCCTGGAGATTCTCAGGACTGGATGTTAAATCCCATTTCCTCCCCCCAGACAATTCATTTTCATTGTCATCTTCACAACCTTCCTCCTTCGCTGTGTGGATTACAATGTTCTCTTTGCCAACCAACCAAATAACCATACCAGACCTGGGCCATTCCACAACAAAGTGACCTTGTTGGATGCCATCCTACCCTCAGCTCAGTGTGCTGAGAGGTGAGTGACAGCCTGGTGGGACCCGGGGGAGGGTGGAGCTCATGAAGAGGGGGCTCCTGAAGAGGGGAGAGGAGCAGAAAGGAGCCTCCCTTATCCTTGGTCTAAACCAGCAGTTCTCAAAGTTTTTGGTCTCCAGACCAAAAATACACTTAGTATGCTTTAATTGTATTTAATTTAAAGTTTATGATGTATACTTTTAATGCACTTAAAATTAAGAACCCCAAAGAGGTTTTATTTATGGGAGTCATGTCTATCCATGACTATCATATCTAATTTGAAATTAAAGCAGAAACAATTTTATTTATTTATATATATTTGAGACAGTCTCATTCTGTTGCCCTTGGTAGAGTACCATGGCATCACAGCTCACAGAAATCTCAAACTCTTGGGTTTAAGAGTTTCTTTTGCCTCAGCCTTCCAAGTAGCTAGGACTACAGGCACCTCTATAATGCCTGGCTAGTTTTTCTAATTTTAGTAGAGATAGGTCTTGCTCTTTCTCAGGCTGGCCTTGAACTCCTGAGCTCAAGCAATCTACCTGCCTTGGTCTCCCAGAATGCTAGGAGTATAGGTATGAGCCACTGGGCCTAGCCTAAAAACAATTTTAAAATCTAAGACTGCCCAAGCACACGTTCCATTAGCTATCTGCTAATGGTGAGGTGATGTCTTCACAAGTCTTATAACCTCTGGAAAGTTCCACCTCATGCCCATGAGAGAATGAGATTGAAAACAGCAGAAAGCATCTGAGAAAAGTTTCTTAGACAGGCATGGGGGCACTGGTGCCTGTAGTCTCAATTATTTGGAAGGTTGAGGTGGGAAGATCGCTTAAGCCCAGGAGTTTGAGGCTGCAGAGACTTATGATTGGGCCACTGCACTGCAGCCTGTATGACAGAGTGAGACCTTGTCTCTAAAATAAACACAAAAACAGAAAAAAAGTTTTGGCTTTGCAGGCACGGTGTAGGGGCCACCTCCCTAGATCCTGCAGGGAGAACTGCTGGTCTGGCTGAATCTTCTCGCCATGGCTGTTTTCCCTTCCTCTGGTTTCTCTCTCAGGCCCTCATCTTTTCCCCCCACTACCTGTCCTCAACCCCACACAGGATCCACTCCAGCCCCATGCTGGTCTTTCTCCTGGTCCTGGCTGTGGCCTTCTGGCTGGTCCAGCTGCTTCGCTCAGTCTGCAACCTCTTCAGCTACTGGGACATCCAGGTGTTTTACAGGGAGGCCCTGCACATCCCACCGGTGAGCTGGGCCAGAATGTCCGTGAAGGGTGCCATCATAGGGTGGGCAGAGGAGTGGGGCTATGCAGATGCAAAGGACTACTGGGAAGAGGGCAGAGAGAAGAAGGTCTTACACCTGCCCTAGTGGAGCCTAGTTTATTTAGATGGCTCATATGAGATGACTTAGAGTCACATGTTTGAGCTAACAAACAAGAAGTATTTAGAGGGAGGGCAGTCATCTGGCTTTCTAGAGCAGGAAGAATTTGGACTGGGCTTGGGAGGATAGGAAAGAAAGGTAGGGCATTCCAAGACACAGTGGGCCAGGGAAGGAAGGTAGGGAAAATTTGTGTAGGCTGTGGTAAGGAGATGGACCTATTAGCTTAAAACGGAGCCTTCAAGTCCCCCATCAGGCGATCCCCCTCCCCAGTACTCCAGTAAGCCACTGCATTGCCTTGTCACTGTTCTCTGGTCACACTCTGCCCTTTCCTCCCCATCTTGCCTCTGCCTATTCTTGCTTTGTACCTAAGTTCTCTAAGAGACAGCTCAAAGGCTGCCTTCTGCAGCACCCTTCCTTTGCTTCCTCCTGCATAGCAAGGGAGAGGTCTAAAAGGCCCATGAGTAGGAGAGCACCAGGCACAGAGTGGGGGGGGGGGGCATCAGGAAGCCCATGAAGCAGAGATGAGGGAGTGAGTGTGACCACCTTTCTGCTGGAGACTGCTGATCCTTCTCCTCCCTCCTTTCCCATTCCTCCCAGGGGAAGGGGAGAAATGAACTGCAGAGTTCACAAGGATGAACTGCAGAGGCTGGAGGGACTGGGGAAGCCGGGTGAAAATGGGCTAAGATAAGGTTTTAAGACCCCCAAATGAGCTCTAACAGCACACTGTCACCAGACATGAGCACTGCCAGGGTCTCAGGAAGGCTAATCTGGTGACAGAGTGCTAGATGTCCTGGAGTAGGGTGGGGCTGGGAGGGCTCAAATTATGCCCAGGCAGAAGGTGGGGAGGTTCTGGCCCAGAGTTGGAGGGAATACTGCAAACTGGAAGGAGTCATCCTCCTAGGACCTGCCAGCCATTCTGTCTTCTTTGTGTACAATTGAGGGGAAATCAGGCAAACTTTCTCATTAGAGCAAAGAAGCCAGGTCCAATACCTGGAGAGTTTACTAATGAAGTGTCCCCAGCAAGCACATGACTAATGGTCTGGTGAATGGCAGGGATGATGAGGAACAAAGCAATTCAGAAAAGGATGAAAGGAAGTAGGATGTGTCCTTGTTAGGGACAGGCGTAGGGGATGACAGAAAGCAGAGGTGGGGAGGAGGTGAGGGAGAACGTAGCTTGGTCATGGTTAATTTGAGGTGGTTTCCGGGCAGTCCATTTTGGGGTGTGGCTCAGGCATCACTCTGGAGAGCAATGGGGTGGCACTCAGCAGATCCCCACTCCTTAGGAGGACCTCAGCTTGGTGCCGTGGGCAGAGGTGCAGTCCCGCCTCCTGGTGCTGCAGCGGAGCGGTGGGCTGTGCGTGCAGCCGCGGCCACTGACAGAGCTGGACGTGCACCACCGGATCCTGCGCTACACCAACTACCAGGTGGCTCTGGCCAACAAGGGCCTGCTGCCGGCCCGCTGCCCATTGCCCTGGGGAGGCAGTGCTGCCTTCTTCAGCCGCGGCCTGGCCCTCAACGTCGACCTGCTGTTTTTCCGCGGTCCTTTCTCTCTCTTCCGCGGGGGCTGGGAGCTGCCCGACGCCTACAAACGCAGCGACCAGCGGGGCGCCCTGGCCGCGCGCTGGGGGCGCACAGTGCTGCTGCTGGCCGCCGTGAACTTGGCGTTGAGCCCGCTGGTGCTGGCCTGGCAGGTGCTGCACGCTTTCTACAGCCACGTGGAGCTGCTGCGGCGCGAGCCGGACGCGCTCGGGGTGCGCCGCTGGTCCCGCCTGGCGCGCCTGCAGTTGCGCCACTTCAACGAGCTGCCGCACGAGCTACGCGCGCGCCTGGCCCGAGCCTATCGTCCGGCCGCTGCCTTTCTGCGTGCTGCCGCGCCCCCCGCGCCCTTGCGCGCGCTGCTAGCCCGCCAGCTGGTCTTCTTCGCCGGCGCGCTCTTTGCCACCCTGCTAGTTCTCACCGTCTATGACGAGGACGTGCTCGCCGTGGAGCACGTGCTCACTGCCATGACCGCGCTTGGGGTCACGGCCACCGTGGCCAGGTGCGACGGCGGATGCCTTTGGGTGGTGGTGTGCCTCTTTCTCTGAGATGGGGCTATGTGAGCCCATCTTCTGGGTGGCAAATTCTTACCCCTCCTATGTCGGCAACCCCCAGCTGTGCAAACCACTGCATGTCCTCCTAACTTCAAGTCCCTTCTTCCCATCCCTTTCCCCTCCTCGCTTTCCAGATCTTTCATTCCCGAGGAGCAGTGCCAAGGTCGTTCCCCGCAGCTCTTGCTGCAGGCCGCCCTGGCCCACATGCACTACCTCCCAGAAGAGCCCGGCCCTGGAGGCAGGGCCAGCGCCTACCAGCAGATGGCGCAGCTGTTGCAGTACCGGGCGGTGAGGGTCGCGGGCTGTGGGGGCGGCGGTGCAGTCCAGTGCTCTGTCCGGGAGAGGGCATCGGACAAAAGGGCTATGCCGGAACTTAGGGAGTGACTACGTGGGAGACTTCTCTCCCTGGCGAGTGTCCCTGGGGCTTCTTGGTCTTGATCACTCGCGTGGCTCCTCAGCAACGCTTGTTTAGCTTCCCCCTACTTCTCAGGTTTCCCTGCTGGAGGAGCTTCTGTCTCCCCTCCTCACCCCGCTGTTTCTGCTTTTCTGGTTCCGCCCTCGTGCCCTGGAGATCATTGACTTCTTCCATCATTTCACTGTGGATGTGGCCGGGGTTGGGGACATCTGTTCCTTTGCCCTTATGGATGTGAAGCGCCATGGCCACCCTCAGGTTAGACCCTTCCCTGGCCTAGTGGGGTCGTGTTCGATAGGAATTTGCTTCTCTTACCCAAAGCTGACCTGGGTTCCAACTCCAGTTCCATCACTTGCCACCTAGGACCCTGAGCAAGCAACTTCATTTCCCTGCACACTGGTGTCCTCATCTGTCAAATGAAGACAACAGTAGTAGCCAAGGCTCAGGCTTGTGAGGATGACAAGAGATGATGTCCATTGGACCCTTAACAGAGTTGCTGGCACATAGGTGCATCAGCAGATGGGAGCAAAGATCTGGAGGGGCTGAGAAGAGTGGCCAGTGGGTGGGGCTGCATAAGGATGGGCTTCTGGACTAAAGCTGTCAGGCCCATCCTGGGGACCTGGTCTGCACAGGTAGGCAAAGCATTGAGGTCAGGCCACATCCCTGAGCTGGGTCTAGACCCAGGTCCTGCTCTGCTGCTGTACTTTTGGGTGATGGTGACCAGATCTCCCTTGTGGCCTTCATTTCCTTCACGTGGAAAATGGGGCAGTGTCTCCTTTCCCACCTACTTCCCTCCATAAGACTTAGTTTCTGTAGTATCTGAGAGACCCTGGTTGCTTACAGTGGCTATCAGCTGGACAGACAGAGGCCTCACTGTCTCAGCGTGCAGAGAATGGGAAGACTGAACTCTCTTTGATGCGGTTCTCCCTGGCACATCCACTATGGCGCCCCCCAGGGCACAGCTCTAAGTTCCTTGGGCACCTCCGGGGCCGGGTACAACAAGATGCAGCTGCCTGGGGTGCCACTTCAACTCGAAGTCCCCCCACCCCAGGGGTACTCAGCAGTTGCACCTCACCTCTGGTGAGTCCTAAACCTCACCTACCCTCTGATCTCCCCATCCCAGGCCTCCCTTTTCCCTGCCCCTACAGCCTCGCTATTGGTAGTATCCTCTTCATCTTTCCCTCCTGTCTTGCTCCCAGCCAGAGGCCTTCCTGGCTAACCTCTTGGGGCATCCCCTCCTGCCCCAGAGGGACTTGAGCCCCACATCCCCCTGTCCAGCTGCTGCCACAGCCAGCCTCCTTGCCTCCATTTCCCGCATTGCCCAGGACCCCAGGTGAGATGCAGGGGAGATGCAGGGGAATGGGGGTGGTTAATTTTCTATGAGGGAAATAGGATGCTCAAAGGGGTCCAGAAGGGGAAATCCAGCCTGGCTTGCTCTATGGGGTGGGAGCAGGTGGGAGGGTATATTCTTTTTTTTTTTTTTTTTTTTTGAGATTTTGTTTTTTTTTTTTTTTTTTTTGAGACAGAGTCTCACACTATTGCCCTGGGTAGAGTGCCGTGGCATCACAGCTCACAGCAACCTCAAACTCCTGAGCTTAGGCGATTTCTTGCCTCAGCCTCCCAAATAGCTGGGACTACGGGCACCTGCCACAATGACTGGCTTTTTTGTTTTTTGGTTGTAGTTGTCATTGTTGTTTGGTGGGTCTGGGCTGGATTTGAACCTGCCAGTTCCAGTGTATGTGGCTGGCACCCTAGCTGCTTGAGCTACAGGCACTGAGCCAAGGTAGGGGTGTATTCTGATTTACTGTACCTGTATTCCAGCTGTACATCCCCAGGAGGCACTGGGGGTCAGAAGCTGGCCCAGCTCCCAGAGCTTGCTTCTGCTGAGATGAGTCTCCATGCCATCTACTTGCACCAGGTGAGTGGAGGGCGGGTGTGGACAGGAGAAAGGTGGAGAGGAAGCAGGTGAACCAAACAGAGGTTGCAGGTACCTAACCGGAGCTGCAGGAGGTGATTTTGAGGCCCTCTGCACCCAATCAAGGGCTTGGCTTGTCCTCAGGAAGAGAGGAGCCCCTCATTCCTCTCATTTCCATGCAGCTTCATCATCAGCAGCAGCAGCAGGAGCTGTGGGGGGCAGCTTCAGCCACCTCTCTGTCCAGGCCCTGGTCTAGCCCCTCACAGCCACCCTCTCCTGATGAGGAGAAGCCATCTTGGTCAAGTGATGGTGAGGAGAGTAGGGTATGCAGAGGGTAGATCCTGGGTGGACACTGGGCATCATGGCACTGCCCAGTTGATGGCTTTTGTCACTAGGCTCCAGTCCTGCCTCCAGCCCCAGACAGCAGTGGGGAGCCCAGAGGACTCAGAATCTGTTCCCTAGAAGGTTTCAGGAGACTACAGACACCCAGAAGGAACCTGTCCAGGCCTCTAGCACTGTCTGAGAAGACTCTTCAGGGTCAGTATTGCATGCTTATGCAGGGAGGCAGAAAGGATTGAGTAGGAGGTTGGTTTGGAGTCAGACTTGGAGGGATGGAACAGTGGGAATTCACCCGGCAGGGGGTGGTTATCTTTGGAGCTCAGAGCCCTGGACTGCTTGCCAAAAGCCTTCTCCTTCCTCAGGTTTCCTGGCTTCCCACAGCAGACTGGACAGGGTGGAGTGGAAAGACATGCCAAGCCATCTTTAGAGGCCCCCTACATACAACAGGCCCAAGATACTTTAGCTGGGCAGGACCTAGGGGTCAATGAAGAACTTGTCTCAGAGAATAGAGAAAGGGTTGGAGGGTTTCCAGTGGCATCTGGAAACAAGTCTTAGAGATGGTTCCCACAAAGGAGGGGGGGTAGACACACCCCAACTAGCTGTTCTGGAGCATCTTCCTGGGAAGAAGATGTATACTCAGGTAGGGGGCATGGGCCAAGGAGGGAGCCCCCATGTGTAAGGGAAACAATGAAGCCAAGATCTGAAAGCCAGTGGCTTCTCCACTGGCCTCTCTCAGGTTCCCATGGCTCTTATGAGTGGAAAAACTAGAAGGGGCTGGCAACTGTGGACTTTAGCACTGTGATGTCCAAGGGGGGTGCAGCTCCTGTTCCTGTACAACATAAGCCGTAAAGACTGTTCATGGCTGTGTTGCATCTCTGCCAGTAACGTGGCTTCCCAGCATCCCCCACTGCTGGCAGCTGAGGGCCAGCACCTCCTTCTCAGTGATGAAGAGCAAGGAAACTAACTGCACAGGACAACTGCCCAGGTCTGGCTGGAACCATGTTTTTAGTCAAGTGGAGTGTGTAAGACTCCTTGTCAGGCTCAGCGCCTGTGGCTCAAGTGGCTAAGGCGCCAGCCACATACACCTAAGGTGGTGGGTTCGAATCCAGCCCGGACCCGCCAAACAACAATGACAGCTGCAACCAAAAAATAGCCAGGCGTTGTGGCGGGCGCCTGTGGTCCCAGCTACTTGGGAGGCAGAGGCAGGAGACTTGCTTGAGCCCAGGAGTTGGAGGTTGCTGTGAGCTGTGAAGCCACGGCACTCTACCCAGGGGGATAGCTTGAGGCTCTGTCTCAAAAAAAAAAAAAAAAAAAGACTCCTTGTCAAAGAATAACAGCCCACTACACATCTGCGCAGGTTAAAACACAAAACTTGTCATTTCATAATCATAATTGACATGGGCTGGGTTAGGCATCTTAGTATCTCTAATAATATCTGGCACAATCTTTTGTGGTAAATCTTTAATAATAAATATTTGAATGATTAAGCTTTTAGATACTCCTGAGAGAGGTAAGGGGAATCTAGAATTCACCTAAAGAACAAGAAGTGGGTAGCAGTTGGCCCTGGAACACCACTGCTGGGAGGGGCCTTCCCAATGTAGGCAGGCCCAGGCCGGGGGAAACAGGCCTAGAGTGAGACACTGCACTCATTCCTGACGGAATAAGGTGAATTTTTGCAACCTCGTGAGGGTAGGGAGAGGTGGCTGGTGCTGGTCAGGCCGAACCGAACGCAGCAGCCCGTCTAGGTGTCTGGGACAGGCGGGTCGAACGCCCAGGGCACTGCGCCCCGAAGCTGCCGCTCCTGCAAGGAAAAGCTCTGGGTTCGTATGCGGCTTGTCACTTCCTGGGTGCGCAGCGTGAGCCCGAAAATGTCCTCGTGGTAGCGTTGCTGATCCTGCCGGGAAAGAGTTCACCGGGTCAGAGCTGAGTGTGAGACCCCAGCGGGAACCTGACGCGCGTCGCTCCTGTGCCCCACATCGGCCCCCACCCGGTCCCAGCTTGGCCTTGGCCCCGCCCCTCCGCACCCGCAGCACGCCGATTACGTCGCCAGCCTCTTCCAGCTCCATGTCACCCTCGGTCGCCAGGATTCTCTGCACAGTCTGCAGGACGCTGGTTGCCATGGTGACGTCGCCGCAGACGAACATATGGCCCCGCTCCAGGCACAGCACGCGGTACACCTCGGCTGCCAGCTCGGTCCGCAGGAGGTCCTGCACGTACGTCTGCGGGCAGGCGGGGTTAGGGGCGGGCCAGGTTGGCCTAGGTGCTCTGGGGCTGGGTGTGGAGAGGCCTGGAGGGGCGGAGCCAAGCCGGTGGCGAGCCTTTCAGGCGGAGGTGGGCGGGCCCAAAAGGGGTTGAGGGCAGGAGCGTGGGCCGGAGTTGGGCGGGTGGCTGAGCGCTAGTGTGTGAAGGCGGCGGATGTTAGCTGGGGCTGGGGCAGGGGCAGGGGCAGGGGCAGGGGCAGGGCTTCCCACTGGCAAGCGCAAACGTCCTCCCCTTTCTTCCTGTCTTCACGTTACCCCCGCGCCCTCAGGGTACCGCACCTTGGGGCTATCGGGTTCCCGGGAGAAGGCAGTGAGTACGCAGCCAAACACCCCGTGCTGCTGGGCGTCCTGCACCTCATCGCGGTAGAGATGGTCGAGTTGGGAGCATCGGCAGCCGAACACCAAGGTCATGGGGGCGGGCTGCAGCCCTGCAGGCAACAACGCTGTGGCTTGGGAAGGCCACTCCCCTGGGGCGGAGCGCAAGCGTGAAGGCCACCCTAAACCAGGCTGATGTGTGGGGCTGAAGCAACCACTATTTTGGCTGTTTGGACTCTAGAAGAGTTCAGGATGCTTTCACAGAGATCCTGCCACATTCCTGATTTGCGGAGAAGGAAACAGCTCATACAGAATGGTGACTATCCTGGGCTGCAAGGCCCGTGGCGGGGCTACCTATAACGTAGGACTTCTGGCTCAGAATCTGTGGCGTTTGCATTGTGTGACACCTCAGCCCCCTTCCCTGCTTCATCCTCATGTTCTTCCACACTTTCAACTTTTTGTCAAACCATCCTGGGCACCCCACTCCCAACCTGAAAACTTTGTATCTTATTTAGGTCTTAGACACACCTAGGTGAAGTCTGGCACTATGCTGAATACACCAGGGGCATTTCGTTGTCTTTTGAGTCTCAGCCCATCCCTTCCAAAGTTCCATTTCTTTTCTTTTCTTTTTTTTTTTTTGGAGACAGAGCCTCAAGCTGTCCGCCTGGGTAGAGTGCTGTGGCATCACAGCTCACAGCAACCTCCAACTCCTGGGCTCAAGCAAGTCTCCTGCCTCAGCCTCCCACCACAATGCCCGGCTATTTTTGGTTGCAGCCATCATTGTTTGGCAGGCTGGGCTGGATTCAAACCCGCCACCTTAGGTGTAGGTGGCTGACGCCTTAGCCACTTGAGCCACAGGCACTGAGCCCCAAAGTTCCATTTCTTCTGTTTTTAATCCAGTAGACACCTACTATGTGTCAGCCCAGGGAAGCCAGACAAACAGGGCCTGGCCAGCCCTTGCTTCTGGACCCTCCCCTCAGTCTAATTATAAGCCCCCACTTCCAGCCTCTTATCTTCTCTTTCCTATCTGCTTCATGCCTTCCAGCCCACCCCTTTGTCCCTAGATTGTGTGACTCCCTCCTGCCCTCCAGTCATCCCCTTGGCCCCCAGCCTCACCTTTGCTCTCAATGTCATGTAGCCGCTCCTGCCAGAATCCCCGGAAGGGGGCAATGCCAGTGCCTGGGCCCACTAGGATGCAGGGCAAGCTGGGATCAGGTGGCAGGTGGAAGGACGGAGCCCTAAGCAGAGACACTTGGTCAGGTCCCTTCCCTTCCCTGCTCTCCTGTTCCTAATAGCCCAAGTTCCACTGACAAATTAGTTGTTGCTTGTAAAGTCCCTAGATATGTTTATTAAAGGAATTCTGCTTGTAGGCAGAAACTTATGTAGTTCAATTTGGATTGAAGAATACTTAGGGATTTAGAAAATATGGGGAAGACAAGGACAGATTTTTGTTCCTAACAGGTAGTGTTTATTTTAAATAAATAGCCTTATGTGGTACTGTTTCTCATTTGCTGGAGCTCAAGAATTGGAGACCAGTCTGAGAAAAAAGGAGACCCTGTCTCTACTAAAAATATATGGGTGGGCGTTGTGGTGGGTGCCTGAGGTCCCAGCTACTTGGGAAGCTGAGAAAAGAGGATTGCTTGAGCCCAAGTTTGAGGTTGCTGTGACCTATGAGGCCATGGCATTCTACCCAGAGTAACAGTGTCAGACCGTGTCTCAAAAATAAATAAATAAATAAATAAATGTCTTAACATCAGTATTTGGTTTGTATTCAGCAGATTGGTATAGCATATTTGTAAATTGGCCTCCTGAGTGCGTTTGGGTCCCTCGGCCTAGCTCATGCCATCCTGGGAACTCTTCTCAGTCCTACTGAGACTTTTGGTCCCTGATTGTTGAAGGGGGCATGACTACTGAACACAGCACAAGGGAAGGGGATCTTGAGCTCCCTCACCTTCTTTGAGTCCTTATAGACACTGTGGCCAAAGGTGGTCTTTGTCCTAACCAGTCCTCACTGGATTGGGTGAGGACTAGATACCATGCCTTCCAATATTGCACTGAGGCCATGGACACAGTAGTACAGAAGCTATACTCTCAAAAAGCAACAGGGCCAGCAGATCTAATCCCAGTTCTGTCTCTGGAAGCTGTGGTCTCAAGACAGGACCCCAAGTCCAAATTAGCAAGAGGCCCAAAGCTTAGCCAAAGTTCTGAAGTGACCTAACTTAATGACACCCCACACTTGGTGTGGTCCTTTCTGCTTTCAGTAACTCTACTTACCAAAGCAACCACCCTGCCCCTGTGCTACCCTCCACTGTGTCCCCATCTGGTACCAGCCATCCTTGTGGCACTTTCCCCACCCCTACTGGGACAGACCTTACCCACTATGCTTACTCACCCCCTAATGAAGCAGGGCACAGGGTCTCCAGCCTTGAGCTGGCTCAGCCAAGTGGAGCAGACGCCATAGTGCAGGGGGCCTAGCCCATCTAGGGGATGGGAAGAGAGGCCGGTGAGGGGCCTGTGAGGGGCTGGCCTGGCTCTGCTGTGGCCAGCCTGCCCTCATTCTTAGCCTCACCCTGGGTCCTGTAGGCCAGCACAGCTACAGTGAGGTGGATCTCTCCTGGGTAGATGCTGGGTGCTGAGCTGACCGAGTAGTACCGGGGCTGGAGCAGAGGCAGCTGAGTGAGGAGCAGGGGTGCAGGCAGGGCCACCGATGGAAACTGTTCCAGCACCTCTAGCAGTGTGGGACAGCGGAACCACTTCCACTCCTCGTAGCGTCGGGGGTCCTGGCAGGGCATGATATGGTGGGCTTGAGACTCCTAGCCCTTCCTGGCAAATTCTCTTTTGGATCTCTCACTAGCTGAGTCTTCTTAGGGTTTCTCCCTCCTCAGTTAAGGCCAACAAAGGTTTCAGTGTATGTCAGCCAGGAGAAAGCCTAGGGAGCCCCTTGCATGGGGGCTTCCTACCGTGGGGGTCCCCGCTGCTCAGCCTCCCTCTCCAGCCCTTGCTGCCCACTGGGGTGACCCCAACCTGGCTCAGGGCCTCCAGCTCCTGCTGTTCACTGGGCTCTTCAGCCAGGGTGCTGAGCAGGCGAAGGAGTTGAGGGCTGGGTGGGGACGTGATGTCCAGGAAGAAGGTGAGAGCCTGCCGCAGTGTGCATGGGGGCAGCCGGGGGTCCCGCACCCAGCCGGGAGGAGGGCCACCTGGGGGTGGTGCATAGGGAGCTCTCAGGAAAGGGCCTGCTGGGAACTGCACTTTCTGGGCTGATGTTTGCTTTTGGGGGTCTCACTGTGCCCCATGCTGTTTTGTTAGAGAACCTGCCCTTGACAGTAGTGTGGATCTGTCTAGGCAGCCTCAGTGTGTTTGTCTTGGCTCCTCTGACCCTAACCACCCTGCTTATTTAAACCCCAGGTACTGATGTGGCAGGAGACAGACCCAATGCAGAGTGTGGGAGCTGTTGGGAGGAGTCCGGGGGAGGAGAGATGGCTTTTGGAGGGTGTGTAGGAGGCAGCTT